GCAAAGATAGCAAAAATAGCAAATACAGCAAACAAATTAATTTGCACGGTTACCAAAGAAATGACACGATAATCACTTTAAAATATTGAGGTCATTAAACGAGGTCATTGAACGGGGTCACGCGAGCGAGGCAGTAGACATGTACACTCATGATACAGTAATGTATACAATAATATATAGGCCGCAGCCTCGGACGCAATCCAGTTTCCAACATGCATTCAAACCCATGCACGCCTGCTCCCAGAGAGCCACAAGGCACGCACACGCATTCACCTGCGCCACGCCTTCCCCGCAGTATCACCTGCATGAACAAGTTTACATGTAGTAACAAATTTGCCATTAACAATGATTTAGAAGATGGCCAAGATATGACAAATTTCGTATGGATTTATAAAATAAATGAGCTACTTATTTTATACTTCATGAATCTTCTGTCTAAATTCTCCTACTTCAATTACTATTCCGTTAGTTTTTTCTACATTTGTCGAAATTAATTCGATGTTAGGCTGGGCTGCACCTTTAAAAGTGGTTATTCCCAGATCTCCCGCACACGGATAGAGCGCATGCGTCTGAGAACATTGTAGACATGTTTGTTGTTGGTTTTTTGCTATACAAAATATAAAGGACACAAATAAAACATGAGCCATTATAAATTAATTGGAAGATGGCCAAGAAATAACAAATTGTATAGGGATCTATAAAATAAATGAACTGGTTTGTATTGTTTATTTTTTAGTTAGAAAAATATTAGTGGAAAGTATAACAATCTACATACTATGCTCATTAACTATTGTCATGTTAGACATTTTATATCAATGTTCTCAAATGAATGTGCATAAAGGTGACAAAAATAAAGGGTCTTTGTTTTTAAAGTGATGTCTTAATGTCAGTGAATGAAATGATATTTTCAGATCCACATAGTGAACATAATTCGCAAAATATGCAAATGAACATTGGCCATGACAGGAAATGCATATATCTATAAGTACCCAATTGTTATAATTCAAATGCCCCCACACTATGTTGTTAAAGGTAAAGACCAGTATTGGAAACGCCCCAATTTCAAAAAATGAAATGGAAGCTCTCATTACCAATCATGTGAAAGAATATGTTTTGACTAATACATGATGATAAACAATTTGCCGGGAAACCGCCTACTAATTCATATATTTGGAAAATTTGTTTCTCTCATGGTCTGTGAGATATATAGGGTAGTCCCATATACATCTTCCTGTGTATAGTGCTTGTAACTTTACGAAGAATGGGCCAAATTTCTTATCATCTTGATGATTCCAGAACCTTGCAGATGCTAGATGATCAACCTTTTCTGATCGATTCCACAACGTTTCTTTCACAATGCAATCGCATGACCATAACTGGTCTTTACCTTTAATGTTACCTACCATGGTGGACACATGTTAATGTCCACATTTTCAACCCAGTTTGCCCGCTTTGCAAATAAAGCGTACGTCATAACGAAAAACAAATCCACATTATTTTTTTTGATTTAATAATATCATTTTTTTTAAAACATTTTGTTTGAGCTTCTAATACAAAAATTAAATATTTATTACTATTTTCTAATTTGACCACTATACTAAACGAAATCCCCAAAGGAATTAATATTGCAATTTGCTATATAATAATACAGAGGAGTCAACTAAAACATGGGCCATTAACATTGAACTAAAAAATGGCCAAGATATGACAAAATCCGTAGGGATCTATAAAATAAATGAGTTAGTATATTTTATTCTTCATGAGTCTTCTCTCGAAATATTCCCACTTCAGTAACTATTTCGTTTGTTTTTTTCTACATTTTTCAAATTGATTCGAAGTTAGGCTGGGCTACACCTTTAAAAGTGGTTATTCCCAGATCTCCCGCACCTAATACAAAGGACACAACAAATAAAACATGGGCCAGTAAAATGAATTAGAAAATGGCCAAGATATGACAAAATCCGTTGGGATCTAAAACAATAATGAACTAGTTTGTATTGTTCTTTTTTCTTTTAGGTAGGAAAATATAAGTAGTGGAAACTATTAAGATCTACATAATATGTACATTAGCTCTTGTCATTTTAGACATTTCATATTAATGTTCCCAAATGACTAATGTGCATAATATATGTGGTAAATCTATGTCATGATATTTAAAAACAAATCAACATTATTTTGTTTGATTTGATAATATCAATTTTTTAAACATTTTGTATGAGCTTCTACTAAGTTTTTTCTTCCTGTTTTCTCTTCTCTTCTTTTCACTCCCTTTCCCATCCATTCTCTTTTATTCTCTTCCTTTCTCTTATCTTCTCTTCCCTTCCCTTCTCTTCTTTTTTCTTCCTTCCCTTCCTTTCTCTTCTCTTTTTTTCCCTTATTTACTCTTCTATTCTCCCCTCTCTCTCTCTCTTTCCCTATCTTTCTTCCCCCTCCACTCGAACTATATGTGTAAACACATGAGACATAGGCATATACGCCCCCTATCCATGTGTAGATAGGGGGCGTATATCCCTATGTGTGTACACTTTCTGCTGGTATGTTATATCTAAATCTTGTCAACCATGTTTTGTCATTTGAAGTACTCGGTTCCAAAAGGTACTACATCCATTTTGTATCAATTTAGAAAGAAAAAAAAAATGGCATTTATGTACACATTTCCAGTAGCATCATGCACGGACACTTCCACAAATCTGAATTTCTCTCAATAAGTCAACAATGGCATTTAAAAACCAGTTCGGTTCCAAAAAGTACTATATCCAGTCAAGTCATTAATTGTAACTTGTATACAGTATGCAATATGTTCGGTTTCAAAAGGTACTACATCCACAACAATTAAAACAACATAAATTAATGAAAAATATTTGGACAGACTTAGATTATTTTAAAGAGTGGTTTTGTACTTGTATCATATAAATGATATAATACAATAGTATAATCAGCTAAAGTATCATCGTTCGGGGTAGCTTTTGTTTGTTTGATGTATTTCAACCGTTTTTCTACTTATGTGTTTTAATTGTATAACTTTCTGGCAATAATTTGATAAACTATGCATTTATATTGAATATATTCTTTATTTCTTAATGATGAAATAAATATAAACATGATATTAATTCAAATGAGAATCATGTTTGTTTAAAATTCACAAGAGCTGCCGTAAATAAAATGTACATAGAAAGCACTTAGGTAGTATGAATCTGCTTAAATATCACAAAAACAGAAGGGAAAAAATATTCCCACGTCGTTGACAGAGCATGTGTTTCTATTGCAAACAAGGCGGTGTACACAAATTTGTATCGAGAAAGGGAGGAAAAGTCCACAAGTTACGCTATTTGTTCAAAAACAGAAATATGCCTGCACTCATTGTGCATACAGAGTCGAAGGTCGCGAGACCATTAACAATAGATGGTGAGTCAGAAACGTATGGACATTTCCTTTGTATTGGTCTTTCAAATTTGTGTAAACTTTAATTTTAATATTTTAATGAGGTTTGCGGTTACACTATTAGTTATCCCTGAAAAAAAAATGCCCACTCATGCTCTATATCGACATTTCGAATGGTTGTACCTATCGCCTTCGAGATGAGTGTGCATCTCTGTCTCGCTCTCTCTACGTGCCGTATCATGATGCGTTGGTGACCATCGAGTGCCACATCTCTCTGTCCCATATTCTATGAAGTAATTCATTCTCCCCGAGATCAATTCCACATTCAGTAATCTCACTCATTAAGCTACTCATCCACAGAATCCTCCTTCTACCCCTACTCCTCATCCCCTCTATTCTTCCAGTCAGTGCAAGCTTTTCCAATCCATTCTTCTGTATAACATGGCCCAAGAAGCTCAGCTGTCGACCTCTTATAATTATTCAGAAGCTTTCGTCTTGTTCCTGCCATGACAAATACCTCATTATTAGAAACTCTTTCTGTCCATGAAATTCTTAGCATCATTGAGTGTGTGTAATGGGTCTATTTACCGTTGGGTTGACTGCACAAGTCAGGGGGTTATGCTTTTAATATGGTTGCGTATTTCTTGAATAGCCATTCTTCCTCCTCTTTTTATTTGTCCTTATTTCAGTTTTTGTCCGCATTATTCTCATTTACTCATTTTTTTTAAATCCTATTTTTCATCTTTCCCAATGCATCTATCTCTCTCTCTCTCTCTCTATATATATATATATGTCCGCCATCTCTCCCCTATCTCCTATCTATCTCTATCTCTCTCCCTTTCATTCTGTCTACCTCTCTCTCCCTCTTCTTACTCTAGATCTCTCTCCCTCTTCATATCTCTCTCTCTCTCTTTACCTCTTCTTTTATATTCCTCTTATATCATCTCTCTTTCTTAATTTTCCCCTCGTATGGTTCTATCCTCCTTTCCGTCCGTCTTTCTTCATTTCCCATTGCGTTTCTTCCACTCACTCGAAGCCTATCATGGGGGTCTTTCACAAAGGCCAAAATCAACATTAAGTTGGACTTGACTATGGCAAGCCGTTCGTGCCACTGTTGCTCTCACCATTAACTGGAATCGGTCTCTTAAAGGACGTACAAATCAATGTCACAAATCTACAGAATATCTAAAGATCATAATGGTTCGTTCGTTTGTGTCTCCTTAGATCAAGATAAATGTATCTTGATCTATTATTGTTATCATAATAGTGAGACCAACTGTGGCATGAATGGCTTGCCATAGTTAAGTCAAACTTAAAGTCAATCTTAGTGTTTGTGAAACACCCCCTTGTTCTGTATCTATATTACATGACCATGATCTGGCATTGGCTGAATTTCAAGCCCGATTCTGTGTGTATGCCTTTAAACAAAATCGGATTTAAAAAAGGAAGTCCCTCAGACGTCTAAAGTTTAAATTTGTTAAATGTGATTTAGATAGACCTAGGCTCATTTTTATCCGAATTAGGATAGAATACGGGCCTATAGGTTTTGTAAAGGCTAGTAGTTAATACTGTGGTAAGTCGGAACATAACTTGATTTCTCGCAATTCATTTCTATATAGGACTTGAGACGTTGAACATTCTAGTTTTCGATTGGTGCGATCGACCTTATATTAGGCCAGCTGTTAAACGATCCAACAATGAGGTCGTTTGCTTTTTTCGCAATCTCAATACTTGTTGCCATGGCTTCAGGGTATGAGGAGCCATTCCAGCCATTTCAGAACCCGGGAGAGATATTTCCTGGTTTGACCATTAAATTCATGATCAACGCTGCTGGTGGTATCTTGCAGAAGGATCGTTTCATTGATTCGATGGCCTATGCTTGCAGAGGTGTCCTACCGGTAGTCGGTTCGGCGGTACCTGAAGTGGACCAGTCAAGTCTGGTTTGGGGTTTCGTCTGTGATAAAGTCATCGAAGCTTCTGAAGATCTGGATGCCTTTGACGCAACGGGATTCTGTAATGACATAATTACTGAGGTCAATAGCCTTATATCTCAGGACAGTGGCGGAAGATATCGCAGACAAGCGGAATATATGGATGATTCCCTGGGTATCCTTGGAATCCTGATCAACATCACCAGAGACCTCTATGGAATTGACATCAACATGATCATCAATGACCCATCTACAATCAACACCATCTGTACCAACGTCAAGGAGAATTTCCTGAGGCCATCTCTTCAAGATCTCCTCTCTAAGTTTGGGGCTGAACTGATGAGTGCCTATCTACCTCGGGCAGCTCCGATCTGTGCAAACTGGCAAGGCTTCCTTGAAGGTGCAGGCATCGATTCCACGTCGCCTTTATACAGCATTATTCAAGATGGTGCTCGTATCGGATCTCAGGTGGTCGGATATGACGACAGAGAGGATCTTTGTCAACATCTTGAGCAAGCACTATCGGTGCAAGGTAAGATAATGATTTGTGCTTAATGTCTTGCTAAAATATAGACATCTTCTTTTCTTTTCATTCATCCGTCTTGGTTACTGAGAAATGTCACTTCAAAGCCAGAAGGATATTAAAACTGTGTCTAATAATATGTGTAAGGCCCTCCACGACGTCACAATGTTTTACTGATCGGCCGGTGTCGTCCTGTCAATGGTGATAAAAACATAGATCCCTGTTTGTAGACAGGGCCGTCCTCGATGTGTAATAGTTTTCACGAAGTACAGTATATAAGCTTAATCTTTCAGTGATCCAATCTCAACGTGATACCAAAGACTTCCAAAAGACAAGATACTCTCCAATAGCCACGTTCACCATCATGTAAAATATGCGAACATTATCATGATAGCAATAGGACGTTATCCGAACTTGGTTTTTCTCTGTACTAGTTTGGCTAGGAGGGATTAGACCACCCAGGCGCGTACGCAGGATTTTTTCAAGGGGGGGGGGGGGGGGTTAACATTTATAAATCGGTCCGAAAATTTCGCAACGACTCAGCCAGCCGCTGAATAAGCGGGGGGGGGGGGGGTAAAGGGCCCTTTTTTTTTTTTTTTTTTGTTCCCCAAAAAATCGCAACGACTCAGCCGACCGCTGAATAAGCGGTAGGGGGGGGGTAAGAAGACCCCAACCCCCCCCCCCCTGCGTACGCGCCTGAGATCACTCAGGGTGGTCACTGACAGGTGGCTATCTCATCAACTCAGCTCTCAATTAAAAAGAGGATCATTGGGGACCAATGGTCACGATTAGGCATTGTTTTCTATATAGAGGGAGCAAGTAGCTACAGTACAATAATAATAATAAAAACGTTACTTATAAAGCGCTTACCACCGAAGTCTCTAAGCGCTAAAAGCGCTACAAGTAGTACAGTGGGGTTTTAGGGGCAGAAAATGTGGTATTCAAAAATTGTCCTTACTTTGATTTCTGGAAAGTCTTTGTGATATTTTGTTCCTCATAATTTATTTTATTTGTATTTCATTTTTTGCAGAAGATAACAACGCCGCAAGGAGAACGTTCTCCATGGACATCATCTCCGAAATCTTCGATACCGTGGAGGAGGCTGACAGATGTACTTCATCGGCTAATGACGCCATTGACAATGTCATCCTGCCCCTTATACGTGTGAACATACCCGCCTATGTGCTTTCGAACGATGACATTCTTGCTTATACCGGCATTGATGGTGGAGTGGCAGCTGTTTGTACAGCAATGGAGAACGCTGTCACGTGTAAGTTCATAAACTGTGATAATATTAAACGTATACACTGTACTATTATAAAACAAAAAGAAGAGAGAATAAAGAAAACATGTTTTGTGTTCGTTTCATTAAAACAACGCTCACAGAACAAATTTCGATCAGATCGTCGGCTGCCTGCAATAAAGCCGTAAATGCCATTAACATTACGTACCTGTAATACCCTTCTTGTAGTACACATTGTATTGTACTGTACTTTATTTGGTATTCTTTGCTCAATTTTTAGCAGATGATATGTTTTCAAAAATTAAAACACAAGGGTTAGCCTGTAGTATATTAGAAAAGCGTTTAGAGTCATCATGGATAGTTTAATTGCCATACAAATGAAGATTTATTAATGGCCGAGTCAGTCACTGGCGCGGTGTGGGGGGGGGGGGGCGCCATCGTTAAGAGAAGTTTTCCAAAGGTTTTTGAAAAATAAACAGAACAGACGCTGGGCTAATGATGATACAAAATAACCTGACACTTCATGAGCCATGTGGATTATAATTTATTGAAACTTACTTGCCTCTGGTTGCTCATTTATATCGATTGCTCCGTTTGGCGATAAGTAAAATGGCTTTTATTTCATTTCTAATCTCAGATGAAATAGACCTCCCAGACCCTGTTCCAGTCCAGCTCATCCCTGAGACCACCCTGACCGTTGAGTTCTTCTTGAATGCTGTTGGGGGCATCTGGCAACAAGACCGACTCATCGACTCCCTTGCCTTTGTGTGTACAGACGTCTTACCTGAGCTGGAATCGATGGTACCCGAGTTTAAGTCTTATGTTAAAGATTCCTGGGATTATGAGCCAGTTTGCGGGAGGATCCGCGAAGCGGCTAGTAACTTGGAGGCATTTGACGCGACGGAATTCTGTAAAGACCTTACCAAGATAGTCAACGACTTGATCTACGGCCCGGGAACTGATGAAAGGGTTCGCAGACAGGAAGACCCATACATGTATATCCTAGACATCATTGCGAATATCACCAAAGAACTCTACAACATCGACATCAATGACCCGTCGACCATCTGTCCAAACATCGCCCAGTTCCTGGACAGGTCCATACCTGATATCATATCGGAATTCGGTGCTAAGCTGATGGTTGTCTATCTACCCAATATAGATGGTATGCTCTGTGAAGATTGGGACCAGACACTTGAGTCGTTTGGAGTAAATTCTACTTCGGCGTGGTACCAGCTTGTCCAGAACGGTGCTCGTATTGTATTCCAGGCTGTAGGATATGAGAGCAGACAAGCTCTCTGCCAAGAAATCAACAGAGTACTAGCCATAACAGGTGACGTCTTTAGGGGACAAATAATATTCTGAAGGAAAAACAAAGTTAAAAAGCTTTAATCGAACTTACATTAATAAGCTAATGCGGTAAATTATTTCAAAAATAAAAAAGAACCCTTCGGACGTTGTCATTCTGATTTTATATATACGCATTTCTTATATTGAGCTCGAACTACTATGTTTTGTCTTTGCTGGTTTGCGGAAACCGATCAGGTTTAAGTCAAGAAATTCATTGGGGTATGCCTTCTATTTATACGAATAAATTGGGGTTGAATAGAACAATTGCTTCCTGAATACCAACACAGCTTTGAAGGCGTTAACTAATAGAGTTTTCTGATATTCTAACTAAAGAACAAGCTTTGACAAAAATTAAAATGGTGTCTTTAATTCGGGCATCATTTATATACATGTTGTAATCATTTATTTAATTATAAAGTCGAAGTGAGGAATGGGTAATAGAAGGCATTGGTATGGATGTTTCTTTCAACAGTTAGTTGTTCGTTTGTATGTGTATCTATTTGTACCTATTTGTATCCATTTCGTCATACATCTTAATATAGTTATACATGTTCTTAAACGCATATTCTTATCTTGAATTGTTTTATATTCGTATACTATACAGGAGATGATAACGAAGAGCGTCAGACTTTTGCCAGGAATATCATCGAGAGCAGTTTTGAGATTTATACAAACAACGACAGGTGTTCCATGTACTTCAATGACGCCATCGATGACATCATCGAACCAATCTTTGAGATTGAAAACCTTCAGATTAAAATCAGCGATTATACCATTTATCGTTACACCGGATACATGGGCGTGGAAGGGGTCTGCGAGGCAATGGAGACAGATTTCACGAGTGAGTCTAAATTATTGTTGAGATGTCGAGTTATATTAGTTTATTGACGTGTCTCTCGGTAGACCGGTTTACTAATGTATTCCAATTTATACATGAAAGTTCCCCTCAACACAGGTCACCAGTCAGTCCTTATGGATTGAATTCACTGTGCATACATCAATTATTGCTAAGGCGGAGAAAAAACTTCCTTTTTGTTTTAGTTATCAATAGAGTCTTTTGTTCAAAAGGTATGCATAAAATAAGTAAAAAGGTTTATTCAAGGGTTGAGGGTTATAATCTCAGCCAGCTGACATTAATCCTTGATATTTTGTTTCCGATTCCTAGAGCTTTCTACTAGCACTGTAACGATAACTCTAACGGGCGAGAGTCTAAACGGAGAGATTCTTGTGTTTACTGAAGATCTGAAGAACCAGGCGTCTCCTCGCTACAAGAAGCTTGAAACGTTGTACTGTGGAGTGGTAAGTTTGAAACAATGATTAAACATTGATAGTGAAACAACAACAACAACGACGACGACGACAACAATGATAATAACACAAGTAATGATTATAACTCTACTTCTACTACTACTACTACTACTACTACTACTAATAATAATAATAATAATAGCTAGTTCTTATATAGCGCTTTTCAAGACCGAAGGCCCTCTCAAAGCGCTTTACAGATATATATATTATTACCCCGGTCATCGGATTCAGGCTTACCCGCACACAATGCATGCACATTATCCACTCCCTGGGGAGCATTCCAGCCAGGCGTCATTTTTAAAAGCGCACACTTGATCACTTCTACTACTATTACAACTACTAATACTGTTACAATTAATACCACTACTTCTACTACTATTTTACAACTACTACTACTGATACTACTATTATTCACAATAACAAAAGGCCAAATTGTATAAGTCAAACCATATTATGTTCATGAAAATGTATATATGATGAAGAAAAGAAAAAAAGATGCAGAAACCAATAAATCAAATCAAAATTCAAATAAATGTTGTTTTTTTTCCTTCCTAATAGATAGGGAATCATCTGAGGCGGGAGTTAGGATCAGAGCTTCGAGGTATGGACTGTGAAGCCACGTCTTTCAGCCCTGGCAGCATTATCGCTGAGTTGGAGATTGAGATTCATGCCTACACTCAGGATGATGCTGATTCTCTCGCTGAGGATGCGGGAGACCTGTCAATCAGCCGCACTCTCGTCCTCTCATCCGAAGGGGATATCTTGACAGTGTCCTCACTTCAAGGATCAGGATCAGGTAATAGAAATGTGTGCATGTGTGTGTGTGTGTTTCTATCAGGATTGTGCAGCCTCTGATCCTCTCATCCGAAGGGGATACCTTGACAGTGTCCTCACTTCAAGGATCAGGATCACGTAATAGAAATGTGTGCATGTGTGTGTGTGTGTGTCTATCAGGATTGTGCAGCCTCTGATCCTCTCATCCGAAGGGGATACCTTGACAGTGTCCTCACTTCAAGGATCAGGATCAGGTAATAGACTGTCCAGGGAGCGGTTTGATTAAAGCCCCACTGCATTACTTATAGCTACGTCCGCCCTCTATTTAGCAAACAATGCCTAATCGGTGCATGTTGGTCCCCCATGATCTTCTTTTTCTTATATTAATTGAGAGTTGATTTGATGAGATAACCTCCTGTTAGTGACCTTGCAGGGAGGCCTAACACCCTGGCCAAACTGGTACAGCGGACTTATTAAGAGGCGTCGCTGCGGAGTAGGAGCCATAAATCCCTCTATTCATTACACATTTTTTGTTGTGTTTTTATTTATATTTTGCTTATTTCTTTCTTTTCAGATAGATAATGTAGGGAATTTTATTCACCAGTTTAAGAATCGCTAAATTGGTGAAACCTTTGTTGTTTTCGTTTTTTTGCTTTGCTATGCTTTCTGTTGTTTTTTTGTTTTTTTTATTTGCTTTTTATTAGTTTGTTTAATGTTGCCGGCCGGGAACAATTTTATCCCTTTAAAGGCAAATTGGAAAATCTTTAAAACCTAATTTGAGGAGACGGGTGGGGGGACTAAAGTATGAAAAAGTTGCAGCTAATTTCACCCCCTTCCACTATGACCCCTCCCCCTCCTCCTCCTCCGCCATTCGAATTGGTCTCGTGACATCACTAAGTGTGATCTTAATAATCCCATTAGGAGTCAACTCCTAATATGAAGGAATTCACCAAAAATTAAATGATCGAATTACTCTCTTTTGGAGACGATCTACAAAATTCTTAAGTTGAATTCCACTCCAAAATAGAAAGATTCCTACTATGGCATTTCATATGTGACGAGGCTTCAAAACCTATACAACTCATAATACGATTATAAAAGACCCGATTCCAAGATATCAAACATGACTCCAAACATGTACATAACTTTGCACATAGAGACCTCTTTTGAATGCATCTTTTGAACTGTTCTGTTCCTATACTTTCCCTGCCAGCTGCCCAAGGGGGTGATGGTGGCTTGGCTAAGGGGTCCATCATAGGCATTGCTGTGGCTGCGGCCGTCGTGTTCTTGGTGGTCGCCGTCATCATCATCGCCGTCGTCGTGCACTCCAAGGGAAAAGGCACAAGGGATACGTGAGTATTAAATACCAATACATTGCAAGGTAAAGGGTTCGAGTCCCTGTGCTTGTTAGATGTAATACACCCTTTCACGGTTACAAGAGTGCGCATGCGCCGACATGGGCGCCATTTTAAATTACGAGAAAATGAGTTGTTTACTCGTAATTCAAAGTGGCGCCCATGTTGATGTAAGCGCGAGGCGCAGTCAGTGACGCAATAATACACATTTATGTGCATCTGAAAACAGTGATGGCGCAATGTTTACTTTTAAATTAAAATGGCGGCCTTAACCGTGAAAGGGTGTATTATAGGTGCAGGGTTCTAAACCCCGTAACAAAAAAGCTTAGCACTTGATCGGCTTATTGATTCGGTGCGATTGATGGCACATATGAATCAATGCAATTAATCGCGAAAATTAATCGTACGATCAATTGCTATGTTAGTGTTACGGGACCAAGATCCCTATAATTACAATTAGCTCATGCTGCAATGACAATTACAAATCTTTAGGTCAGTCAGGGACCCCTTTTTTGTTTTGTACTTTTTGTTGGTTCTTTTTTTGGAGGGGCGGGGGGGGGGGGGGCTTCAATACAACACCATATCACAGACACTTACAACACGCAGGGCCGCGCATTTCAGATTTAACATTGTTAAACGATCCGTTTAAATTTAATAATCGCGGTAATAAATCAGATCACTGCCATGCCATTTATTCATTCATAATTAAAATGATATTTAGCATCGTTTATCTTCGACTGCCTCTAGAAACATGTATCAATTAATTCATACTGGTTATACGTACGTAAAGAAGTGAATATGGATAAACCATCGTCATACTTAACTTTCCACTCAGAGGTAACCTTTATAAATTCCGAGAAGATATCAAATTCAGTATAAACTATTCCTACGCCGTATACTCTGTAGAACCAAGTCGAATTGAAATTGAAACTTTTCCTCTATTAAAATCCGATGTGAAATCCACGTATAATAAATTTCCACTACGAAGTATCCTCCTCAGGCTCAGTAAAACCCAGCTAAATTAAATTAATTTGCGACCGATCAATGTCTACTTCCATCCTCTACCAAATATGCAAGTAGAATGAGGATTCTCACGCTAACACCGTGGGTATCCCAATACATCCCGGCTAATACAATTCCATATGTAGATTTGAAACATACCGCGCACTATTATACAAATAACGCACGTCCCAGAGTGCAATAGCGGTGAATGCAGTACGCGCGAGGTTTCTTTAGATTGGTGCCGCTCTGTGCAACGAGCCGCTTGCGGCGAGTTGACAGTTGACCATCTGAATTGTCAATGTCATGTGACGCGTATTGACCAATCACGATGCTTAAAATAATAGAGCCATTTTATAATTCCGTTTATAGCTACGCGCACATGAAAGATACCGCGCTGACACAAAGGGCGTCGGCATGTTATTGTTTTCTCTCAAGATGCCGCAAAAGATCATCACAAAAGAGACGCCGCTTCTTACGCGTGCTGTCACTGATGAATTTAAACTATTTATATCGCCCTACGTGCGATAAAACTCCATAATTTCTAGCTACGCATAATATTAATGGAACAGAGTTCGTTGCCCCTGTACTGGTCAGGTTTGATACCAAACAATAACAATGTGTAGGGTTCGATTCCCTGTACTTGTTAATTCGTACTATTAATTCGTAAACAAAAACATTATTTGCATACTATTGCTTGCTTTTTCATGAAGAAAAACCATGTGATTGTCTCAGTAAATGAATCACACGTGACTGCGTTTACTATCATTTGATTAGGATGTAGGAGTGAATTGTGTAATATATCGTATCCGGACACCTACCCCCTGGAAATCCACCCCCGGTTACCACCCCCAGTCAACTACCCCTAGGACAACTACCCCATGAAAACCACCCTCTAGAACGACTACATCCTGGTCAACTACCCCGGACAACTTGCCCCGGACAACTACCCCCTAGAACAGTTTGCCGGGGGGTAGTTTTCCTGGAGGATCCTTGTCGTAGGTGGTAGCTATCTGGTAGTAGTTGTCCGGGTGTTAGTTGTCCAAGGGATAGTTGTCCGGTGGGTAGTTGCCCTAGGGGTTGATTGTCCTAGGGGGTAGTTTACTAGGAGTAGTTGTCCGGGGGTAGTTGTCCCAGGGGGTAGTCGTCCTAGAGGGTGGTTGCCCTAGGGGCTAGTTGTCCTAGGGGGCAGTTGACTGAGGGTGGTTATCCAGGGGGTGAATGTCCAGGGGTTAGGTGTCCTAGAACTGTAACATAATTATGTATATATATATATATTGCTGGTGTTTGTGAGGTTATTATCTTCAATGTTTCGTTTTTGTATTATGTGCAGTGAGCGAGGAGTTGGATTGAAGAACCCGGGATTCTCCAAAGATGAGCACCAATATAGTAAGTGATGCTATCCCGGATACTGTTAACCCGACGCGTGGACTACTGAATTATCTAATCCCTATAGTCTTAATACAGGGACCACCAGGTTCCAGTAGGCAAAGGGTTAATACTGCAGACTTAGACAACCTCCCCTATCGAGAACTTGAATAATAATTAGCATACGAATTTTTATAATTGTGCTTAAATTGTGTATCCGGACAGTTGATTTAAAACAGAAATTTGAAGAAGTTTAGAAGCAATATTTCATAAATCTTTTAAGACTATTGCCGGACAAATATTCATGGTGGTGACTGCTTTTTGATTAATATTTTCCGTAAATATTTCTAAAACTCACTTTTGAACTTTTAGGTTTTCTGTTTATATATTTTGTATTTGATTTTTAATTCATGTCAAACTATGTTCATTGTAATTGATATGTATATTTTTGTAATTTTGCAATTTTTATCTGTGAATTGTATCGCAATTCAGCCTTTTACGGCTGCGAAGATATTTGTTAATAAACCTTGAATTGAATTAAATTAAATCTATAGGCATGTTTGTAGAGTATCCAGACACCCCCCTCCCCCTTCTCATCAAACATAAAAGGGTTCTGCTCTCTTTAAATGCATAGGCGTGTCATTATACAATTTTCAAGGACATCACACGATATTACAATCGTCATTGCACTGACGAATATCGATATCATTGCCTTGTTTTCGTCCACATTATGCACCATTAATCTTCTTCTTCGTGTTCTCCTTGTTTTCGTCAGAAAGTTGCATTCGTTTTGCACGTAGTGCTTGTAATCACTAGTTATGCCCTCTTCTCACATATGGCTCCGTTTAGTCTCATTTCACAACGCCCCCTATCGTCAGAGCATGGTCAGATTCAGCAGCCTAACATGTTAGCCTATGGACGTTTTTTTTTAAAATCGTTACAAATTCATTTTTTGTTTAAACGAAAAGCACATCCACCCCGACGTACGTTATCACTAGCTCTTTCATTGGAGCCTTCATGTCTCATTGACTTTTGAAAGTTCACCCACCGTAATTTTTCAAAATAGGTTGCAAGCTCGTCATTGCCTATTATACACATGTGAAACAAGTCTAACTTTGGACTCAGTTTACCAAGCGATTTGAAGATTATAGAACGAGCACACGAAATATAAAAAGCATGAATTATCATAGATCACTTCTGCCTATTTCGTTTTGTCCATTTCATCCAACCCCACCGTAATTTTTCCATTTAGTAAAAGCAAACATTTTGCCGAGTTTAGCAAAAACATGAATATTCATGAACGGTCAGACAATACAGCCTTTTAGTACGTAACGTATAGTGAATGGGAATGTGCGATGATCCGTGTAGGAGGTAGAGGTCAGTGGTTTGTGCTGGCAATGTTCACGCGAGCGAAAATGAGACAATCGGAGCAATATGTGTCCGTTTCCTTACATATTTCATAGGCATAGTCTCTAGCTTCTCATCAAGGTCACTACATTCTGCGATTTTCTAAATCACTCATTCATAACCGTTTAGGCGCCATTTTGTACGTTTCTGGTCCGTTTTAAGGCCTTTCTTTCTTCCTTACTTCCTGGCTATCTCCACTATCCTAGATCATACAGAGTACAAATTTCTCTAAATAGTCCAAGATATGTTCTTTCATCTGCGACGCATAACCTGAGCTTCAAAATGCCATCTTTGCTCTGCAAACTCAAATCCGAAACCGGCTCCGTGAACAGTCTCTAAAAAATTCGAAAAATGGACCCCTCAAAATCTAAAATTGCCATTACTCCCTCATACCATTTCCGTTTCGTCTCAATTTCTTGCAGTATTTAATATCATAATTGCCCAAAGCCATGC